CGGGGAGCCCGCCCTGCAGAGCCAGTAGTTACTAACCCCGTGTGGCTTGTGTTAAGAGCTCTTGCCAGGGAAATCTGTCAGCAAATCAGTGTGTGGTGTCTAAGGCAAGCCTGCTCGTCGCTAAGGCTAACGCCAGCTGTGTATAGCCCCAAATAATCACTCCACGCTCACTTGGCTTATTTTCTTAAACAGCCTCTTCTGGGAGCTCTGGGCCTCTCAGCACCCACCCCCATCCATCCCTGAGTCACCACCACCTGGTCACACGGCAGCACGGCCATTCCATTTCTTCCCCCTTTAGTTGGGCGTTTGCTCCCAGGAGTGGAGGAGAGGGGAGCGGGGATGGGGCTGGGCATGCACCCCTCACTCCCGGAAGGGGTCCCAGGCTGCCGCCCAGGAGCCCACAGAATCCTTCTCAGCCAGTTAGGCGGCTGACTCCCCAATGCTGTAGGGCGGGTGGAAGGGGGAAATGGTTTCTGTTAGCCCCTTGGTTCCCACAGTGACACTGGCTGAGCAGCAAGAAGCCTCGCTAGTCCCTCATGCAGGGCAGGTCTGGCGCCAGCAGGGGGCAGTGCGTGCACATCTCCTGCATTGGTTCTGAAGGGCAAGCCAAGCGGGGCTCTGGGGCAGTTTGGTCAGGGAGCATCATGCTGTGAGCCCCCCTGGGCTGTTCTTTCCATGTGCTGGAGCATGTCCAAGGATCCTTTACACCCTTTTTTTTTTTTTCTTTTTATCTAAAATTTGAATCTTTCTTTTTTGAATAACATTAAGAAACGTTCAATAAATGACTTTTGGAAAAAAACAAACTACGAGCGTTGCCTCTGTTCTCGTCCCTTTGCACGGCATCTCGGGACAGCTGCTCCCCTGTTGGGGTGGAGGGACCCTTTAGGAGAGCAGCAGTGAGATTCTTTGGGAGGCCGTGGGATCTAGTGGCCGCAGTGCGGGAACGGGGGGTGAGGACTGCTGGGTTCTCTTCCTGAGTCTGCATCCAGCTTGCTGCTCAACTAGCTTTGACCTGCCTGATCAAAGCCACTAGTGTAATGGGGACAAGACCTTGCTCCAAGGAGGCGGCCCATTGATTGCTGTCTGTGAAGTGCCTGATACCAGCTGCGCCACTGTCATTTAGAGCTTTGCTGCTCTGATGCTGACCTGTGCTCAGGAGCAGTGGCTGGGTCCAGGAACACCCTCTGGGGCAGGGCTGGGTCTCCTTCAGGCCCCTGCAGCCGGGGAAGAGCAGTTCATCAGCCTTAGGGCTCATCGACACTTGGAGCTGCAGCATTTCAGTGTAGACGCTTACCTGTGCCAATGGGGAAGGGGTGGGGGCTCTCCCATCAGTGTAGTTAATCCACCTCCCCGAGAGGCAGTAGCTAGGTCAATGGAGAATTCCTCCATCAATATAGTGGCGTCTACACTAGGAATTAGGTTGGCTTAACTAAGCTGCTCCGGGGTGTGGATTTTTCACACCTGTGAGTGACGTAGGTAGGTCGACCTAATTTTTAGTGTAGACCAGGCCTGATTAATACAGTAATTTCATGAGTCACCTGAGCGGGGACATCTGTGTCCTGCACCCTGCCTCCGCCCCAATGCACCCCTAGCCAGCTGCAGGCATGAGATACCACCTGGCTCGCTCTGGCTGGCCGGAACACAGTGATCTGACAGTGTTGCTCTGCAGCTCCATCCAGCCCGGCTTGGCTAGCATGTGACAGCTAATCCCAGCCTCCATGCAGCCGCTCTTCCTGGTCAAGCTGACGGGAGCATTGCTGCGTGGCAGAAACCTGCAATACTTTGTAGGAACTGGAAGCAAGAGAAGTTCCTGCACGATGTGAACCCTGAAGCGGTGCCTGGAGACATGGAGCCAGCCCCACTGTAGGCAGGCAGTGGCAGCTGCCCCATCCCCCCTCGTGGTGAAAATCTCTGCCATGTGGAGGACTCTTGCCGGCTGTGGGGAATGCGGGGATCAGATCTTACACAACGGCAATCAGCTGGGGCAGGCCTGGCCACAGTATTCCGGCTGCTGCTCGGGGGGTTCTTGCAGCTCGATAAATCAAAAAGGCTTTAAGGATTAAAATACTGGGCAGGAAACCCTTGGGCTCCCAGCTGACTGTACATACAATGCACGAAGAGCCCCTGGGCCTAGTCACTCTCCAATCCCCAGAGCCAGAATGGGCTGGCCAGGTCACCTAGCCAGCCCCACCCCATCCTGGAAAGGGCCAGCAGGATCAAAACCCAGAGCAGCCTTGAACAGCTGTGGTAATGGGACTCCAGTGCCCCCTTCCAGCCACATCACCTGCCTTGGAGTTACAGCCTGTTACTACAATAACCGCCCCCTCCCCTCGCCAGTCTGGCTGGTCTGGTCTTTCTCCCCTCCCCTGTGTTGTTTGCACAGTCTGTCCCCTTAATCTCTTCCTAGCTGATACTCTCTAATCCTTTTATCAGCCGTGCCCTCCTTTGTTGGAGTCTCTTAAATTTGTCAGTCTTTTCCTTTCAGAAGGGTGAGATTTGCTGGGGGGTCCTTTGCCAGGCTGCAGAGAGGGCAGGATGGGCTCTGGGGCCTCTCCCGTTAAAACCCCGTCCCATGCAGCCCCACAGAGAATGGGCATTTTTAGCTGTTGGACTGAGCCCATCTCCAAGAGCTTTGTTGGCATTCCAGTTACTGGAGGCCCCTTACAGTACAGAAATGAACTAACTTCTTTACTGAGTTCCTCTTAACTTGTGCTTCATTTGCAAATTTCATTCATCTAACAAGGAAGGGGAAAGAAGTATGGGTTTGAACTCGTAATTCCCTTGACTTGACATGACCCACAGTCACCTTAGCGTAACCTGCAGCCATCTACGTTTAGCCACCATAAATTGAAAACAAAAGCTAGAGTCAGGAGAATTCGGCCTTGATGTAGGCAGACAGATAGATAGAAATGTAGTAGCTGCAGCATTACGAACAGGGATAGATAGATATTCACAGTCATGAGAATGGGAGTCCTGAGTGTCTGCAGCTTCTTCTTGATAATAAAAAGCACAAGGGTTTGCTGTTGCAAGGCTATCCCACTAATGAGCGTATAGATAAGCAGACCTTGAAAAGATTTTGCTAATTTTGAAACCAACAAAAGCTAATGAGTAGGTGGTCTTAGGTATGTGAATCTTTGTATACTGAAAATAATTGGTTAGTGTTTTGCATAGCTATGCTTGGAGTAAAATAATTGGTTATGACATAGATAAGAGAAACCCTCATGTTAACTATGTAACGGGGGTCAGGAAATAAGCACATTGGACCTTTACTCTGGGATACAGCTCAAGACCAAAGCTGCTAGGATTTTTAACCCCTGCATGACTAGACTGTGTGGAAGCCAGAGTCCCAGATGAGATCAGACCCTGACTGCCCATTGGGAAACATCAGTCTGCTTTATTGGGAGTGGTCAGCATTAGATGCTTGGCATGTGTATTCTCAATTGCTAATAAATACATGTTTAAGAAAATTTACTGTGTGATAAAGACTCCTTTATTGTGACAAGCTCCCGTTAATTTATAGAGAGCCATTGTACCCCGAGGGGGAGGAAAGAGCCCTAAATTGTGTGGGTAACTGTGCCAGTAACCAGCTGGAGAAAGCTCACTACCTGAGTGTGTGTTCTTTACAAAAAAAAAAAAAAATCAGCAGTGAAAAAGTTAATAATGTTGACATTTACACTGTCGTCCTTAAGTTTCAGAGTTAACGTTTAAGCGGAATAAGAACATTTCACACCTCCTTTTTTCAGGCGGTCAGCAAATGCTGCATTAATTTCCTTCCCAGCATGACTTCCAAACGCAGACACTTTGTATTTTGTTAATGAAAGCTTAGATTTGGGAGCACGGTTCTGCAACAAATCGCACAGCCATGGAACTAGCTTGCCCAGCTCAGCCCATGCATGAATGCTGTAGAAGTTCCTGGAGGGAGAAGGTGCTGTGCTTCATTTCTCCATACATTGAAGTTAAAGCACCAGAGTAATCCACCACCACTTGCCACACTTCCCTTTGCTGCCAGGATCTGGCTCAAGCCCTTGGGAAGTGCAGTGAGACAGCATGCAAAATGCTAGAGAAATCCCGAATTCACTTCTCATCCGAGTCAAGGCTCCTAAAGTTTAACCAGCTTTCTTGAATGTCAAGTGTGAGAAGCAAAAGCCATATCCTCCCAGTGACAGATACGGCAATTTGGTTTATGGATCATTGTAGGCCACGGATTGTATGTAATTCCAGGGGGTGGGGTTGACCACAGCCCTCTGGGGGCTAACAACAGGGGCAGGTAATTAGGTAAATTACCCTGGTTGATGGGGCCTATGTGTTAATGGGTCTAGAACAATTCTATAAACTCTGCCCTGACCCCTGCTTAATGGACAAAAATCCCAGAGCTGTAACGGTCTCTGGGAAATGAGCGGACCATGATGTGGACAGTTGGCCTGGGCTTGATGGAAAACCGAATAGGATCAGAGGACAGGGATCAGGCTGAAGTCGAGACCCACCCCAGGGAGCAGTGGGGGGTGAGTAGGTAAATTCACTCAGGTTGTATTGTAACCCCCCTCCCAGCCCCAGAATCTCCGGCGTGCCGGTTCAGACCGGGTTCTCCAGCCTCAGAGGCCAGCAGACAAGCGAAGGACTTTTGGACCCATAGCTAGGCTTAACCAGAGAGGACCTTCTGCCCAAGGGGGCCCCGGTCCTTGGGAGGAGCGGGAAGGACTGACACCTGCCAGAGCCGCCGGCTGGGAGGACCTCGGGTAGGGTGACTAGCGGGGGGCGGCGCAGGGGCTTTGATCGTTTGGAACCTGGCTCCCCGGTGCTGTCCCCTTCGCAGGAGATGCGCCTGCTTGGAAGGGGCCGGGTGGTATCGTGGGGCCGCCGGGGGGGCCAGAGCCCCGCGGCGGAGGGGCAGGGCCCGGGAGCCGCGCTGGAGGCGTGGAGCCCCGTGGGCGCCATGGGGCGGGGCGATGGGCCGGCGGGGGGCGGGGACCCGCCCGGGGCGCTTAGAGGAGGCTGCCGGCTGCGCGGAGCCGGGCGCACGGGGCGGGCAGGGTTCGGGCACCGGGCACCATGGGCAGCGGCCGCTGGAAGCTGCCCGCTTGGCTGGGGACGATGCTGCTGCTGCACGTGGGTGAGTCCCCGGCCGGGCGGCGGGCTGGGGCCAGCCACGTGGGGCCCCCGGGCGTTGGGGCTGGGCTGACCGCGGTGGGGTCCGCTCAAGCTGGGAGTCGGGGCGCAGCCGGGAGCCCGAGGGCAGCAGCAGCTGCAGCAGGGCTGGGCTGTGCGGACCGGGGGGGACCCCTTGGGGGGAGCGGTGCCCGCTGCCGGGGGCACACGGCTGGCCTGCGGGGCAGCGGCCGCACAGGGTCTCCCCGCGGGGTCGCCGGGCCGGGCTGGGGGGCTGCGAGCGGGGGACTCTCCTGGCTTCCCCGTAACCAACTGGCGGCTTCGAGCGGGTGCGAGAGCCCCGGGGTTTGCCTCTGGCTCGTGTCCGGCGCTGGAGCTGGCGGCTCTGAGCGCCGGAGAAACCAGGGGCCTCCCGGTCACTCTGCTCCCCTGGGGCCCCGCCCCGGCACGGGGGGTGACCCTGGTCTGATGCTGCCTCCCAGCATGGTCCGTCCCCTCTGGGGTCCCAGCCCCCCAGGCTGCCCGGGGTCCCTGGGTGGGTTTTTCCCAGCTGGGGCAGTGGTGTGCGGCCCCGCGGTTGTCTGCCCGGATCTCATGCTCTAGCCCAGTGGCTCTCAACCTTTCCAGACGCCTGTCTCCCCCCCCACACACACACACCCCCCACTTTCGGGAGTTTGATTTGTCTTGCCTACCCCCAAGCTTCACCTCACTTAAAAACTACTTGTTTAGGCAATCAGACATCAGAGTACAGAAGTGTGGCAGCCCCCCTTACTGACAAGTGGCTGACTCTCTCCTTTGTACCATGTCCTTATTAAAATAAATCCCTTGGAACAGAACTATTGTACTTGCAGTTCAGCGTATCCTATTCAGAGCAGTATGAACAAGGCATTGCCTGCCTGAGATTTTAGATTGTGCTGACTTCGCTGGTGCTTTTTATGTAGCCGGTTGTAAAACCAGACAAGTGTCTAGATGAGTTGATGCACCCGCTGAGCGCCCTAGGGGTGTGTGTACCCCTGGTTGAGAACCGCCGCTCTAGCTGCTTTGTAACAACACACTTTCCCCTTGGGCTTCAGAACAAAGGAGGGATTCTTGTAGCTTTACCCTTCTGAGGCGCGACAGGTCAGCACCCCATTGTGCTAGGTGCTGCAGCAAGGGTAGGAAAGGGACAATCATAGAATATCAGGGTTGGAAGGGACCTCAGGAGGTCATCTAGTCCAACCCCCTGCTCAGAGCAGGACCAATCCCTAAAGGGCCCCCTCAAGGATTGAACTCACAACCCTGGGTTTAGCAGGCCAATGCTCAAACCACTGAGCTATCCCTCCCCCTGCCCTGCCCCTCTGGGAGCTTCCAGGCTAGGCTGATACAGCCCCTTTCCAAGGCACCCTGGACAGGGAAACCTAGCCTTGTCCCTTTCTGCTGCTTTCTGATGGAGAAATAAAGGCTGATATTTGATGGGTTATTTGTCCTGCCTTAGAGACAAGGTGGGCGAGGTACTGTCTTTTATTGGACCAATTTCAGTGGATGAGAGAGACAGACAAGCTTTGGAGCTACGCTAACAGAGGTTGGTCCAATAAGAGCGATTACCTCCCTCACCTTGTCTCTAATATCCTGGAACTGACATGGCTACAATCACATTTAGAGGCAACCTGACTTGCCTTGGAGGGCTGGACAAGGAGCTTTCTTAGCCCTTCGCTGAAAGGGCAGCATGAGGTTGTGGCTTTAACCAAGGAGCTTTTCTCCTAAATGTTGGCTGGGGATTGGCATTAAATGAACTTTAACCAGAACAAGAAGCTCCAAACAGACTGAATGAAAAACTCCTTCCCCTCTCAATGAACCTGGTTTCCCTTCCTTGGTATTTCTGACTGCGCCTTCCACTTCTCCAGGGAAAACGGCGGGGGGGGGAATGTAAAAAGACAGAACTGTGTGCACCTGGCCTCTATCTGTTATTTCATGTTTATTTCGGGGCCTTCTTTATCCAGAGAGGGAGGGAAAGAGCCCAAACCTCCTTCACAGGTCCCTTTAACCCCGATGGCCCATCTCCTATTCCCAGAGGAGGCTTGTAGGAAACGGCCCGCTAAAAGGCCAGAGTTTAGTTGCTGGAGGCTCTCTTTGTAAAGTTTGGCCCAGGAAGGAGACGGACTTTGTTGTTCCCACAGTGGGAATGTTGTCCGCTCCTGAGGGCGTTCTCCCTGCTTTGAGAGGGACGTCGGGCTTGCTTTGCCCTACTGAAGGGGCTGCGTAATGCAGGAGGCCGGAGAGGCTGCAGGGCTGGTGTGTGGGAAGATTGCTTTGCGTGGCGATAAGTAGATCTTATTACGGGTGGATTATTTGTTGAACATTCAGGAGGTCTTATTCCTGGTAAGCATATTAAAAATACAAATAAAAATACCACGTTTGTCAGGCGGCCATTCCTGGCCAGAGTTAGGGAGGAGGGCAGGATTAAGGGGCAGGGAGAGTCTTGGGCAGCTTCGCCTACTCTGGCACTCTGTTTGCCCACTCTGCTGGACAAGATAACTTACCTGCGAGGTTCCTGACATGGGGAACCTCTCAAAGATGCAGACTGTGGCAAATGGCATGTCATAATTCGTTCAGCAATGGTCATGTGAGTTGGAACATAACTTGTGTGTGTGCGAGGGGGTCTCCTGGCCTCCCAGCTCATGAACACGCACAAATCCCTGACGTTACCATTGCCTGCTTCTGCCTCCTACTGGAATGGTTGTATTCAGGTTTCTTTGTGTGTTGTTTTTCTCCCTTTCCACCGATGCTGGGAGCCAGGATGACAGACAAGAGGAATTGGAATCTTACTAGCATAACTGTGATCTAGTTGGTACTACTAAAACCTCGAGGGATGAGTCCCATGATGGGAATATTCAAATCAGTGGAAGAATCAAGTGCGCAAAGGGGAAGGGGAGTGGCACTCTGTCTCCAAAATGGCATTACCTGTTTCAGAGTCACTGATAACTCAGAAGAAAATGATCTTGAATGCTTACAGATCAATGTCCGAACAGATAAAGCACAAGATGGGGTATTTGGCGTCTGCTGCAGATGCCCAATATCACACTAGGGAACAGGATGACCGGCTCCTTACGCACCTATCTACAACGTTAGGAAAAGACGCTGCATGATCATGGACCACTTCAATCTGAGTGATGCACGCTGGAGGTCTCATGCTGCTAGTAGTAAAATATCCTTGGAATTTCTAAATATTCTAGATGACAATTTCCTAACTCTCCAAGTGTTGCATCCAACATGGGGGAATTCTGTAGTAGACTACTTCTTGACAGATAAAGAGAAACTGATCACAGAACTAAAAACGAATGGGAGCTTAGGTACATGTGACCATGATTTGATCACATTTATAATACACAAATAGAATAAAGTCCAGATGAGTGATATATACTTGGTGCTTTAAAAAGCTCAAATTACAGGGCCGAAAACAATTTGTGAGCCCAATCAGCTGAGAGGAAGAATTTAATCAGAAAAAAATGTCCATGATCGTTGGGAGTGGTTTAAGAATGCTTTGCTAGATGCCCCCAAAGCCCCAATCGAGGAATAAGACCATATTCTTTAAACTGACCTGGTTCAGAGGGGAAGTGAAGACCGCTATGAAGAAAAGAAAAAGAAATCGTATATAACAAATGCAAGAAAAGGGAAGCTGATAATGAGTACAAGTCAGAAGCTTGGAATTGTAGAAAATTGATAAGGGAAACAAAGGGATTTTAGATTAAAAAACTAGAGCAACATAAAATTAACATGGCCCACATTAAATGTATTAAAAGATGGCTGACTGAAAGGTCTCAAAATGTAATTGTAAATGGGGAATCATCATCAAGTGGTGTGTTTCTAGGAGGGTCCTTAAGAGACCAGTTCTTAGCCCTATGCTATTTAAAATGTTTATTAATGAACTGGAAGAAAACATAAAATCAGCACTGATAAAATTTGCAGATGATACAAAAATTGGGGATGTGGTAAATAATGAAGAGGACAGGTCGCTGATACAGAGAGATGTGGATTGCTTGATAAGCTGGATGCAAGCAAACAACGTGTGTTTTTAATATGGCTAAATGTAAATGTATACATTTAGGAACAAAGAATGTAGCTATACTTACAGAATGGGGAAGTCTATCCTGAGAAGCAGTGACTTTGAAAAACATTTGGGGGTCGTGGTGGATAATCAGCTGAACGTGAGCTCCCAGTGTGACCCTGTGGCCGAAAGGACTAATGCGACCCTGGGATGGATAAATGGGATGGCTGAGTGGGAACAGGGAGGTTATTTTACCTCTGTGTTTGGCACTGGTGCAACCACTGCTAGAATTCTGTGTCCCGTTCTGGTGCCAAACCACTGAAGAAGGATGTTGATAAATTGGAGAGGGGTCAGAGAAGAGCCACGAGATTGATTAAAGGATCAGAAACCTGCCTTGTTGTGGTAGTCAAGGAGCTCAATCTATCTAGCTTAACAAAGAAAAGTGGAGGGCTGACTTGATCCCAGTTTGTAAGTAACTACACGGGGAACCAATAGTTAATAATGGGTCTTCTGTCCAGCAGAGAGTCTAACACGAGCCAATGGCTGGAAGTTGAAACTAGACAAATTCAGACTGGAAAGAACATGTAAATTTTTAACGGTGAGAATAATTCACCATTGGAACAACTTAGCAAGGGTTGTGGTGGATTCTCTATCGGTGCCAATTTTTCAATCAAGATGGGCTGTTCTAGGGATGATTTTTGGGCAGGTCTCTGGCCTGTGCTATACATGACGACAGACTAGATGATCACAATGGTCTCTTCTGCCCTTGGAATCATCTCCCTGAACCACCCTCCCACTGTCTGCTCCCTCATGCTCCCGTTGCTGTGTTGTCCGGGCACAGTGCTGTAGCCTGGCCCAAATGAGAGTTCTGAAGACCAGTCATCTCCTGGTTGCTTTCCCTAGGGCATGTGGCCACTCTCCACCCCAGTGCCTTTTGCTTCATGCCCTTCCCATGCAAGTCTGAGACTCCTTTAAACGCA